TAATTATATAATTAAATTAAAAGCCTTAGTTCTTAGAGATGAAAATAAACAAAAATTATGTAACTGTAGAAATCCTCATAACTGTCCTCTACAAAATAAATGTCCCACGGAATCATTAGTATAACAATGCAATATCTCATTTATTGAAAATCCCGAAAACATAAAAATCTATATAGGCTGCACAAGCCATGAGTTCAAAAAGAGGTTCAATCAACATCAAACTTTATTTAGGATAAATAAATACAGAAATCAGACATCCCTTTCAAAATATTTCTGGCATTTAAAATAATCCAATAAAACACCTACAGTAAAATGGAATTTAATAAGAAAAACTAGAATATGTAGGTCATTAAATGACACATGTCCTTTGTGCATACAGGAAAAACTATATATTACTAAGTTTATAAAAAATAAAAATTTACTGAATCAGAGAAATGAAATAGCTATTTTATGCCGTCATTGTCAAAAATGTTCCTTAAATAATATTTAAAAATAAAAAAATGGGAGCTGGTAATACACATACTTATATTTGATATGAAGAAATAATTTTAAATAATTTCAGTAATTCTATTACATTTACTTGTTTTAAAAAGAAATATAGTCTATAAGTAATTAAGAGCAAAACTATTTTAAAATTTCAAAATTCGCTTAAAGTTGAAACAGAATTAAGGCTTTTAATTTAATTATATAATTAAATATGAAGGTTTTAGCTTTAGTTTTTGAAACATGGTTATTACAGTGTAGCGAAAAAACATATCAGTTAATTTATAATATTTATGCTCGGTAAATTCGCATTGAGCACTTTTTTGTAAAAATAAAAAATATCAAAAAGAACACCGGATTATACATCTTTTTATTTATACACACGCACACGCACACACACACACACACACACACACACACACACACACACACACACACACACACACAGAGCGCGCGCACACATACACGCACATATATGTCTGTTTCGTTAAAAACGACAGACAAGTTACTACGATTAAGGTTTTTATTTAATTTTTCTTGTATTCGAACCTGGACTTTCTTTTTTGAACAAAGGGTGTTTTTATTGCGTTATGGAGATGATTTATTTTCTGAACACTGTTAGCACACTGTGACCTTGTTCGGAGTTAATATTGTTAAAGGTTGTTTTTCTTTTTTATTATTAGGGCTTCCATTATTTTTTGTCTTTTTTTACAGGTGGATGAGGTTATTATGTTTGTGTTTTCTACTGCTATGTTTCGAATGAAGTCTGGTAAGTTAGTGTTTAAATGCGTTCTAATAGAGCTATGGTCAGATAGATGTAACGTAAGACGTCTGGATAGGCATGTAGTTGTGTGACCGATGCAATTATTTATGTATTCGGTTTGATCAGGAACACAGTTCCTTAAAGAAAAGCCATCCCTTAACAATATTAACTACGGAAAAGGCTACAATGTGCTGACCGTGTTCATAAAAAAAAACTCTATAACACACTAAAAACATACACATAACGCATACACTCAAGTAAACTGAAAAAAAAAATCATCCTTACTAATACCTAAAAGGTATGGCCGAAACGCTCGGAATTATAGAACATTTGGACAGTTTCTACACATTCTGTGACCAAAAAAGAAAACACTTGATCGAACACAAGAAAAATTGAATGAAAAGCTTAATCGTAGTGCCTTGTCTGTCGTTTTTAACGAAACATGCATAAATTAAGGATTTCTGCCTAAATATATATATATATATATATATATATATATATATATTATTTACAAAAATTTTACGCATATATTACATAAAGTTCTTTTCATAAAAACAAGAGCTGAAAATTTAGTATATTTAAGAATTAAATTGAATTAAATATTAAGCTTGTTTCATCTTCAAGGAAATTTCGCTTGAAGATGAAACAGCGTTTGATACTTTAATTCAATTTAATTCTAATAATTATATTTTATAGTTTTCAGCTCTTGTTTTTAAAACATGGGAACTCTTATGTAGCAAAGGAATCATATTTTTAAAAAAATAATTATAATTTAGGCTCTACTTTTGTATGGAGCACTGTTTTTTAAAAATAAAAAGAGAAATACTAAAGAACTTCGGATTATTACTTAACCAGTTCTTTCCTATTTTCTATATTTTGCATACATATATATATATATATATATATATATATATATATATATATATATATATATATATATAAACCTAGTGAGCCAGACAAACCTACCCAGGTTTCACCTAAGGGATCGTCAGGGGAAAGCTGGCTAAAGAGGCAAAGGAAACGCATATTTATAGTCAAAATTATACCACGTGACTAAAGATAAAGAAAAACACAAGAACACCGGTGGCGTGGCGGGGCAGGCGGGCGGGGTGGGGGGGTGGTTAAAGATTTATTCAACTAAAAAGGGAGGGGATATTAAAATACGAACATTAAGGTGGAATGACAAAATAAACAGGGAAATTCGTCTTAATTTAGTAACCAAGATTTTTTTATGCCTACATATATTAAGAATTTCGGTTTTGGAGTTTAATTGCTGGTTAGGTTGATCATATAAAGCTATGGCTAATTTCTCCTCTGTACATAATTTACAAAATTTTTGACCTGCTTTATATTTGGGGCATTTTTTTAATATTTCCCATTTAAGGATGGGGTCTTTATTGTTTTCTTGTTTAGTTTTCCATACATAGGTGGATAGCGTGGTACTATGTTTAGTTTTTTCGTTTTTAAAACTATTCGTGTGGTTATAGTATCTTTTTTTTAAATTATCCTGAGTAGCACCTATGTATATTTTAGGGTTAGTATCCTCCATATCCTTATAAATTTTCACCTGGTAAACCACGCAATTCTTGCTGACATTTTCCCTGTAGTGGGCAGATATTTTTGTTCCTACAATTACAACTAGGAGGGCTACTGTGTGGATTATCCCTAGTTTTTTTCTTATTCAATCCACTAATTAAGATCCCTACATTAGGCATGCAACAGTAACTAAGTTTTACATTATTTTTATTGAATATTTTATGTAACTGAGTTTTTTGGGGAAAATGTTGCTCTAATAAGTCAAAAAATATTTTGCCAATTTTTGTTTTTACCGCTAAATTAAAAGGAAGGTTAAACCACAAAATATTTCTCTGCCTATTGTTACGTTTGTTCTGAGTTCTGTTATATGTGTTTATGTCAATGTATTCCAATTTATGTTTATGTCCACTCTTAGATAGGGCTTCCTCATAAATTGTTTTATTGGCCTCGAAAATGCCTTTATTAGAGGAATTAGTTGAAAGTCTATAACTAATGTTTTTTGGAATATGCCTTATGATATGGGCTGGGTGATTGATTTTTTACGTTTAAATATTGGGGTCCTGGTTCTCTTTTCTATACGGGGATATAGTACCATTTTGTAAGTTCAACGTAATGTCTAAATAGTTAGTAATTTTCAGATTAGTTTCAATTTCAAGGTTAAATCCGAATTTTCTAAAAAACCAGTGTAGTTTTTTACAGATAGTGTCACATTTTTCGTCGCGGTAAAACCCATGGTGATTAAATCTATATATTCATATATATATGTGTGTGTGTGTGTGTGTCTATATATATGTATGCATCTCACAATTTGGGATTTTGAAAGTGAAAGAGAGATATTTATTTTTTACTTGAAATATTTGTATTTTTCATTTGACTCCAGATCTTTATATGTATTGCAAACCTTTTAAGTTTGGTCAAATATTAATTCTCTCATTTTAATTTTAGTTGTTTTTATAGGAACTCTAAGTCTGCCATTTTTGTAGCCATTAATAAAGAACGATGTTAAGAAAGGGCCCTGAAAGCAAAAATATCTAAAATAAAATAAAATAAATTAAAATAAAATAAAATAAAATAAAATAAATAGAAATTTGAAAGATGTTTTTATCATTTTTTATTTTTTTTTAATATTCAGAGCGAGCTGCATATTTTGATTCTGTTCCCATTGTTGGCTGTCTGCTAAGGCACAATGATTCAACAACATGTGTTTGTATCTTAAGAAAGAATATATGTAGTTTGCAATATTGTTTCTAATATGCTATTAAATTGCTTGCCTTGTATTCTTGTTTCATTTTTTGGTGGCTTCTTCATCGTATTTTTTGTTTCAACTATACGAACAAATATATTTTTGTCTTTTAATTCCTTAAGAAAAACGCTCAGCAATCACGTTGATATCGAACCAAATTTGAAATACGGACATCATCATATGATGAGTGAACTTGTGTATTTCTTTTTAAATTTTTAACCTTAATATTTTTCCAGGTGAGGACGGAATACAGATCTTATGTAAGTTTTAATCATTTTCTTTGGATTTGTTTTTTCAAATCTTTTTAAAATGATAACAGCCGTGAGTGATAACGTTTAATTTTCGTTGTATGTATGTATGTTTTTTTTTTTTTTTAAAGCAGCTCTTTGCTTTTCAAACATTTCCAAAAAGAAAAGAAAAAACAAAGTCTTCGTTTCTTGGTCATGTTTATAGTCTGTAATAAATGGTACAGTTCTTCGTAAATTTCTATTTGAGGACAGAACTGGAATCGCACATTCTGCCTACGAATTTGCAGTCAAATTTTCCTTCAATTTTCCACTCGTTATTGCCCCGAGCTCTCTCGAATACGGAATAATATCTGAAACTTATACAAATTTCTTTCCATAAGTAATAAATTTCAAAACATTTTCCTTTACTCATTGTCTTCATGCCCATAAAAAAAAATAGATTGGTCCTTTAGAAGAAGAAAGAGAGAATAAAATATGAAATCTCTTTTTAACGAGAATGTGCGAGATGTTGCAATTCGCGTTTTTCTTTCTGTCTCAACTGGCTACAATATGTTAAAGGATCCATTAAAATATGGATTCTTTACAAGTATTTCGTCTGTAGATTATATTGAAAAGAGATGCAGCATTTTTTTTCAGCATCGTATGCCAGGGCAGCTACTGTCTTCATGCTTTAAGAGCAAGGACATTCGTGAAAAAGTCTTGTTACAGGTTTTGCATCCGTATTTTTTCACATCCGAATGCGTCTGCAAGTGAGCTCGTAAGTTTGAGCGATCGGCGAATGCCCGACCACAATGTGGGCATTTGAATGGCTTCTCGCCGGTGTGCGTCCGAATGTGTCCCTGTAAAGCCAAGGCCTGGAAAAAGCCTTCCCACAGAGCTTACACCGACACGGTAACGTATGCGTTCGTATGTGCATTTTGAGCGCGCCTAGGGATGCGTATGACTTGCTGCAAAACTTACAACTGAATTCTCGTTTGACTTGCGTGATGCAGTGAAACTGTTTGTGCTTAGACAGTCCTCCGAATGTGGCGTAACTCTTTTTGCAAGCTTCGCACTGGTAACGCGGTGGATGACTGATCGTCTGTCGGAACTCTTTCGCTAATATGGCGGCTGTAATTGCTTGGTTTGCGACTGATGTTTCACCCGTTCCATTCCGGCGAACGGTGACACCAGAGTTTCCACCGTTTCCAGTATTGTTTAATAGAGGAGGTGGGATATTCAGAAAAGAAAGAATGTTATTTTCTGTCCATGCTCGAGGGGTATGTCCAGCTAATCCGGCCATTGCGACGGAAGATGGACTCTTGGTTAAGGATAATGTGTTTGGTTGGTATCGGTGTTGAAACTGCGTGCTAATGAGCGAATTTGTGAGTGATAGCTTACCGTCTTCGTTTTTGAATTGTGATGATATCTTAGGTGAATGATGAGGTAGGTGAGGATCGAGTGTAAAGCACTGTTCGGTGAGACCGTAAGCAAAGCATGACGCTGACGGGTCGACGGCCGCGGCCGCTGCAGCGGCAGCCGCCAAAAGTCCGTTCCTGTGACTACCGAAAAACGGCTCGCATGACTGCATGAGGAGACTGTCCAAATAATGAGGAAGACGATGCATCTCGTTGAAACCTCCGGTTGACCGCGGCACACAGGTTTGACAATTGTTAAAACAGAATGTAGCCGCCGCTGCTGCTGCTGCTGCGGCCGCACCGTTAGGGCTCGCGAGCTTCTTCTGCGGGATGGGGGTAAAGGCGCTCTCTCGAGATACGGGAATGGCCGAAGGGACTTTCGATGACGTGGCCGCCGCTGCTGCCGCCGCCGCCGCCGCTGCTGCTGCAGCCGCTGCCAGCGCATGCGACTGGAACATCTCGTCTGCGTGAGGCTGACTCATCTGTAGTTTTTGGAAGGGCTCCAGGTAGGTCGGATGACTGTGGTTCAGCTTCGGGATTGGCCTAATTACAGACATTTCCGTTTTCAGCGGATCTGAAATAAAATAAAATAGAGCATAATGAAATTTCATGAGAAATGGTGTATTTTTTAGTGTATTGTTAAGGTATGAATTTTAATGCTTGTTAATGAATTTTAATGTATTTTAATGAATTTTAATATTTTATAATATCTTGAATGTATTCTAATGTGTTTTTTAATCTATTTTAATGTATTTTACAGACATTTCCGTTTTCAGCGGAACTGAAATAAAATATAATAGAACATAGTGAAAATTCAGTAAAAATAGTGTAATTTTATATATATTGTTAAGGTATTTTAATGAATTTCAATGTATTTTAATACGTTTTAATGAATTTTTCTTGAATTTTAATGCAGTTTAAAGTATTTTGAATGTAATTTAATGTGTTTTAAATGTATTTCAATATTTTAATGTATTTTAATGTGTTTTGATCTATTTTAATGTGTTTTTAATGTATTTTAATTTGTTTTTAATATATTTCAGTGTAATTTAATTTACTCTTAATCTTTTTTAAAATTAATATTGTCCAGCTATTTCAAGTCTAAAGAGTCCTTCTGTGAAGAGGATTACTGAATGGGTGTAAATGGAGAATTAGAAATGAATATTATGTGAATATATATGTGAGGTCACGTTTGACCCTATAACTGGTAGTTAAGATCTTAGTTATCTGGGATACATCCTCTCTGAATTCTGTTCAACAGTTCTGGGGAAGAAGTTGTCTGGGTGGAGTTTTCTTCTTTCCAATGGAATAAGACCGGAATGGGGATGAGTAGATCCTGTGTACGTGGCATGATGGGTCCTAGCTGTGAAGGTCTGAACTGGTTGAACTCGTTTGAACCTTTGCCACAAAAAGAGCGATAATATAGCGAGAGGTTAGTAACGATTCATTTGTGGGAAAGGGCTTGTAGGTTAGGAAATATTTCATCACCCACAAGGCCGAGTGAACGAATTGAAATCTATCAAGGCTGAAAAGTGAGGATTGAGCAGCTCCGGCCTAGATATGAAAGCAATGCTGAGTCTAATCTTACTCTTGTATTGACAGAGCATGACGAAACAGGTACTTTCTGGAACGAAACGAGAAACTGGCAACGCATGGATTCCAGTTAAGGTCTTTCCATTGGGAAGGAGAAAACTCCACTCAGACAACTGCTTCCTCAGATATATTGAACATAATTCAGAGAGCATGTTTACCAGATAACTATGATCTTAACCATCAAGTATAGGGTCAATTATGACCTTTGCTGTATGTGCTGAAGTCCCAAATACGCTAAAGGGAAGCAGTCTCCTTGATAAAACAACTGTTCATAAGAAAACCAGTATCTTGAGAATCTACTCCGTTATGATGAATCGTTACAAACTTGGTTTTGAAAGTAATGAAAAAGTACAGAGGGGAGTCATAAATTCATGATGCGGTTCTATCTATCTATCTATCTATCTATCTCTCTCTCTCTCTCTATATATATATATATATATATATATATATATGACCGTTCATTATCTATCTTTATCTATCAATGACCGTTGATATCTATCTATCTATCTATCTATCTATCTATCTATGACCGTTCATATCTATCTATGACCGTTCATATCTATCTATCTATCTATCTATCTATGACCGTTCATATCTATCTATGACCGTTCATATCTATCTATCTATCTATCATCTATCTATCTATCTATTCATGACCGTTCATATCTATCTATGACCGTTCATATTATCATCTATCTATCTATGACCGTTCATATTCATTCATCTATCTATGACCGTTCATATTCATCTATCAATCTATCTATCTATGACCGTTCATATCATCTCATCTATCTATGACCGTTCATATCTATCATATATCTATGACCGTTCATATTCATCTATCTATGACCGTTCATATCTATCTATCTATCATTCATATCTATGACCGTTCATATTCATCTATCTATCTATCTATCTATCTATCTATCTATGACCGTTCATATCTATCTATCTATCTATCTATATCTATCTATCTATCTATGACTGTTCATATCATCTATCTATCTATCTATCCATCTATCTATGACCGTTCATATCTATCTATTCATCTATCTATCTATCTATCTATGACTGTTCATATCTATTCATCTATCTATCTATCTATCTATGACTGTTCATATTATCTATCTATCTATCTATCTATCTATGACTGTTCATCATATCTATTCATATCTATCTATCTATTGCCTATTGAGTTGTGACGGTTAGTAATGGAGATGACATTTTCTCTAAGATTTGGTCATATCGAATTATCTGAGAAGGCAGGCAGCTCGTTATTATAAAACTGAGGTTAGGACTGAGAAGTGTTTTTAGTTAATGCTTGGCGTTCCAAGGTAGAGACGTCGCTAATTTTCCTTAATATGTCTATAGAATTTCAATGTTACCAGTTAGGGAAAGATTTCACCATTTAAAAAAACAAAACAAAAACAGATCGCTTACAAAATCAGAAAAGATTTAAAAAAACAAAAAAAAAACCCTAATGGTTTGATCTTACACACATCGCTTGTTTGATTAGCTTTCTAGTGGAACTCATATAAATATAATACATCACTAAAGATGCTGGGTAAATGTTCGACTCATTCTGTTCTACCATGAAGTATCTGGTACCCTCTTAACATTACAAGAGTCAGATTAGACTAGAAATGGAGTATTGCTGCCATATATACGTTACAGTTTCTCAATCCTTACTTAGCTGACATTACAGAGCTCAAAATGTCGTGAGTAGACTTGTGGGATGTGATTTATTTTCCATTCTGCTGCCTTCTTGCCAAAAACTCAACGCTTCAAGTCTATCGCTACCCGACTGCTGTTTTTACTGATACTGCTCAGATGAATTTTATTTATTTTTAGTTCTCTTCCTGCTATTTCCAGGCTTACGGCCATATCATTTCAAAACACCGGTTCCGGTAAAATCAGCGAAGTTAAGCAACGTCGAGCATGGTCAGTACCTAGATTCGTGACCGCTTCGCAATATGTGAATATTAACAAAATGGCGAGTAAAAAAATTAGATGGTAAGTAAACTCGAACACTGAGTGTCGTATTCCCTCTGGACGCTGGCGATCATGGCTCTCCGCAATGTCTTGTCCTTCGTAGCTTTTAGTAAATATTATCTTTTCACTATCTCCCCCGAATCTCTGTTCGGCCAGCAATTTACACAAGCTCGTTAGGCAGGTTATGCACTGTTTTCCTCTGGACCTCTTGCCTTCACTATAGTAATTTTCTAAGTGTTGCTTAGATGTGGCTCAAGGCCGAAAGAATGGAGCCCCCAGTGAGGATCGAACTCATTACTCAGTCGTAAACATTACACCACGGGGTTCCCAAACGATTTACAAGGCGTAGCTTAGTTGTGGCACAAGGCCGAAAGTACAGAACCCCACGCCTTCAGTGTGTCCGGTGAGTGTCAAATTCTCCAAGCCCTCTTTCTTCATTATGTGCCTTAGACATTTCAACTGTGCCTTTGTGATATGAAGTATAAGTGTCTTTTTTGTTTTCATTTTTTCTAAAACTTCATCATTGCTCACATGTTCGGTCCATGGTATTCTCAGTGTTCTTCTGTGGAACAATATTTCTGTTGTTTCAAGTCTCTTCTTCATCTTTGAAGGGATTTTCCAGCATTCTGTCATATATGAGGACTTATGTAACAGTTCAGCTCTCATTTTTTTTTTTTTTTCTAATTAACTTTTCATTTTTCATCATACTTTGCTTAGCTTTCGGAAGACATTTTTCGCAGTGCCAATGGACCATACAATGCATATCAAGTGGAAATAAAATATACCCAATAAAATTCCTTGATCTGGAATCTCGTTTACAATCGCTCTCTGACAGACGTGCCGTCGCCTCTATCTGTCTTTTCTAAAATACTTTCACGGTAACTGTTCCGACGAGTTATTTTCTCTAGTTTGCAAACCGAATGAATTTAAACGTGCCCCTAGATCGGCATCTCGGTCCCACCCTTTCAATGTCGAAACGGTTAACTGTAACCGTCTCTTCTACTCCAATAGCTTCATGTCTTGCACTTCCCATCTGTGGAACTCCCTTCCTCTTACTTGCTTCACTGATAGCTATAATCTCCAACTATTCAAATGCAATGTCAATCGATATATCCAGATGCCTTGATCTATTTCCTGCCCTTCTCTTCACTCCTTCCTCTATCACGCCTCTTTACTCTTGCTCCCACTCTCTGTAACCCCCTTGTGTGCTAGTGGCACTCTCGCCTTGCTTGGGGTGAAATACTTAAAAAAAAAAGACTGCATATGAACCTGCAAAAGATTAAAATACCAATGAAAAGTGAGTGCTGTTTCCTTGATGCAAAAAAATAAAAAATAATTAGATAGCTGATAATGAATGTCACTGTTACAAAAAAAAATATATATATACTGGAATATTTGCAATAGCCTAACAAAATTAGAAGAGTGACAAACCGATTCTCTCAAGAGAACTATTGTTCTTAGATGCCATCCTTATATATATATATATATATATATATATATATATATATATATATATATATATATCAGGTTCTTAGAACCAAAATAAATTGTTAAAAATACTGTAAGCATGACAAGGCGGTGAAAGGAAAGGTGGAGGTGGCTAAACCTGTTCTTTACAATTTTTATACTGGCATCGAGAAGACATGACACCATCATTCTTTGCTCCTGTTACGTCACGTCAGATCGTATTACGTCATGTCCGGTGACGAAGTGTACTAACGTTTCGAAAACGATGGGAACTCCAGAAACTAAAAAAAGATGGCGAAGATCAGAAAAATAGAATTCAAAACATTATTCTACAATTGAAAAAAAAAGTTCAAATTATAAAATGTCA